CATGCCCAGCCAGCGTGCCTGGTCCTGCCTGTGCCAAAGCCCAGCAGGGTCACCCACGGAGAGCCGGGAGCCGCTGGCTCATGGCAGTGACACGGTCATTGCAGCCCCGGCTGGGATTTACTGTCAAGGAAACCGGGATGAGTTGCCGAGCTGAGATTTCGATATTGTTGTAAATTGATTCAAGATGTGCTGGAGCTGTGGGCTGGTGGCCTGGGGACTCCGTGGAGCTGCAGCCAGAGGAAGAGGTGGCCTGTGAGGGGACCTGGCGCTGCCAGCTCCTGCGTGTCCTCTCTGCAATTGGATTTGCTGGCAGGATTGGTGTTTAAAGGCCTACGGAATTAGTGGCAAATTCACTTTGACTTGTTTGGGACTAGAACAATGCTTTGGCTTTCTTTTTAACTTGGTTTTGGGGCAGGAGAGACTCATCCCTGTGCATTTTCCCCTCCCCAAAGCTTCTTCTATTTTCTCTTATTTTTATATATTTTTTGCCTCTGGTAAGGTCTGGTTTGGTTTCACCAGAGCCCCCAGGGCTGCAGGTCTGTGCTGTGTTGGAAAGGTTGGGGTGTGGGTGCCAGCGGCTTTTGAGGGCTCTTCCATCCTCTGCCAGAGCAAATCCTCCCCACCCACACACCCATGGGACTGCTGGGCACCGTGGAGGTGTCGTGACAAATCCCAGTGGGTGACACAAAGTGAAAGTGCAAGCGCTCATCGCTGCTGGGGTTTGTGGTGCCGCCGCAGCTCGCCGAGGAGAAAGGCCCAAATCCAGCAATCCCCGGGGGCTGCTCTGGCCAGCCAGGCTGCCTGGGAGCTCAGCTGCTCCCTGCTGTCCCCAGGGACCCCCGGGCAGCTGCTCCCCCCCAGGAGCACTCCCTGCACCCAGCTTCTCCCACGCCTACACCGCAGCGATTCATTTCATGCAACAAAACAAGCCCTGTCGAAAGAGGCCACCCCGCTGCCGGGCTTTTCCCCGCAGGCAGTGGGTGTAGGAGAGTGTGATGGTGTAAACCAGGCTGCAAGGTGCCAGACACCACGGTATGGAGGCAGGCTCAGGGGTTTTTGGGGAGCTGGGCTGGCCACAGCTGTTTGTGCTGGTGAGTTGCTGTGGGCCGAGCCAGAGCGGAGCTTGGATTTGACCTGAGATGGGTTTGGGTTGTCTCCGTCCTGTTGGAGTGGTCAGGGAAAGCCAAACAGGTGAACTTTGCTCGGATTTGAATTGCTGTAACATCACCCACATGCCCAGAGGTCTGTGGTGCTGCTCAGTCCACACAGAGCTGTAAATTAAGGCCGGTTTGGGTCTTTAATATGGAAAGTTGTGTAGTGCCAGGAGGTGAAATGAGAGGAGTGTGTTTGTCCTGTGACAAAGGGGAGGGCAGAAGGAGGGCAAAATCTGCCTTCCCACACTGGCTTTTAAACTGATTTCCTAAAGCTTGTATGGATGTGTGGAATTGGGAGATCTCTCTGTCCTGCTCCTTTCTTGCTTTTTGTCTGGCTGGTTTGATTCAGCTGAAAAAGAACGAGGGAAACTCCTGAGACCCTGTGGGATTCTCCAGCTTGTGTGGAAACAGCCAGAAGGTCACAGGCAACGATGGTGCTGTGCCATCACCCTCTGTGGGACCCAGAGAATCCTCACCATCACAGGGGGCTGCTCCAGAGGGAAGAGGAGGACAATGCTGGGCAGTTTCTGCTGTGGATTGTGCTGGCACTGGCTTTGGGCTGGTTTATAGCGATGCTGTGAATGTGTGGGTGTACCCATGAATGTGTGGGTGTACCCATGAATGTGTGGGTGTCTCCCACATCCCGAGGCTGCTGCCAGACCCTTTCCCCACCTCTCCCCCTGCACCAACCCATCTCCATGCCCACCCCCAAATGGCTGCACCACCTGCTTGTCCCCCTCAATCTAGGGATTCATCCAGATGTTCTTCCAGCATCCTCCATCTCTGGGGATTGGGATGCAGAGCAGGGCTGCACCATCCCCATCCTGCGGGGAGGCTCTGCATCCCCCAGCCCTTGCAAGCCCACCTGTGGCTGGCTGGATCCCCCAGGGAGCTGCACCCCCCTGAACCCCCCTGCAGGGAACTGCATCCCCCCGAGCTCGCTGTGCCAGATGCAGCTCCATTGAGAAGCGCCGTTCATTGTAACCTGGCCTTTTATAGCTGCCTCGGAGCGGCCGCGGGGCCATGCCAAGAAAGGCTGCAGCCGGCTCAGAATAGCTCTTTTCATGGAGGACATCCTGGGAAGGAACAATGTTCCCGCTCTTGGGATTGTGGGAACTTTGTATTTCTGCCACTCAGGAAATGGGGAGCTGCAGGGCCCGGCCAGGGCGTCTCCCGGCCCCTCGCTTTGCCCTCTCCTGAAAATAGTCCTTGGGATGAGTTTTGAGTATTCCTGTGCTTATAAAGGGAGCTGAAAATGCCTCAGGACGCTTCTCCTCCAGCTGGGAACAGTTATTTCTGGGAGAGCATCAATCACATTTCCTATTCACGTCACTGGTGTGCATTTTCCTGCCGTGGAGCTGGTGGTGAGTGGGGCCAGTTTCATTTTCAGGTGGTGCTGCTGCACATGCAGAGCGTGTGAGCAGGGCTGGGCGCAGGGCACGTGGGCTCTGCTCCCTCACGCTTCCCCTCGAGGCTGGTTTGTGGTGCTGGGTGCTGGAGGGTGCCCTCCACACCCCTGCGTGGCTGTTCCGTGGTGGGAAGGTGGCGAGCTGGATCTGTGGCGAGTCCAGCTGCCTCTGAAATGCTCATCCTCCGGGAGAGGGTGGCAGGATTGCGGCGCTGGCTCCTGGCACTGCTTGGTGCTGGCAGCTCCTGTGGCTGCAATCAAACAACAAATGCATTTACTGGGACAAATAACCCATTGCCAGATTCCCGTCCCGCTCGGTGCTGGCACCGCCGCAGCAGCAGCAACGCTCAGGTTGGGCAAGAGTTTGAGGGAAGCTGCTGGGGGTGGCTGGGCTGCAGGGCTGGATCCTGCACAAGCCCCAGCTCGCCGTCCCAGCCCGCATCAAAGCCACCGTGGCTGGTCTGTCCTGTCCTGCTCTTCCTCGAGTTCCTGGCCCAGCACCCCAAAACAATCCCAGCACCCCAAAACAACCTCAGCAGCCGCAAACAGCCCCGAGGTGGGGCGGGCTTGGTGATGTGCAGCTCTTCCAGCAGTCAGCAGGGGATGGAAGCCCCCCAGTCCCAACTAGTTCAGGTGTATCCAAGGATTCTCCGCTCAGAGCAAGTTAAAACGATCACAAGTCCTTCGTCCGACCTGCAGGATGGCCAGGAGCTCCTCACGGGAACACATGAGGAATAAAACATAAATTCTGGCTGCTGGATTCCAGCTTTGTGGAGCACAGCGGGCTGCAGCAGGGGGAAGCTCACCCAGCAGCAGGAACTCACATCCCTGTGGATGTCGCTACAGAAACCTGGGGCAGAGCAGAGGAGCAGGAGGCTGCTGTGGTAACTCCGGCATGGATTCACCCGGGATAGCTCCTTCCATGCGGGAAGTGTGCCAGGCAGAAGCAGTGAGGTCGGCATCCTGCCCGTGCTGGGCGGAGGAAGCACTGGGGAGCGTCGGGCTGGAAAAGCGCGTTGCCACTGGCGACGGCCTTCGGCTGCTTCCCGCCGCGTGGCACAGACGAAGCCCGGCGTTTCCCGCGCCACAAACCTCTCCCGAAGCTGCTGCGAAGCCAGCCTGATACCTCGGAAGGCGAATTCCCTACCCTGGGAATCTCCCACCTGCCCGAGGAGCCGTTCTCACCACGAGCGCCTCTCTTCCTTCCCCCTGCGTTTTGCGGAGCATNAGGTGAAGGAGCAGCTGCTGAAGCACAACATTGGGCAGAGGGTCTTCGGGCACTACGTGCTGGGGCTGTCGCAGGGCTCCGTCAGCGAGATCCTGGCGCGGCCCAAGCCCTGGCACAAGCTGACGGTGAAGGGCAAGGAGCCGTTCATCAAGATGAAGCAGTTCCTGTCCGACGAGCAGAACGTGCTGGCCCTGAGGACTATCCAGGTGCGCCAGAGAGGTGAGTGGTTGGGGTGGCCCTGGACAACGGGTCCTGTGTCCCTCCCAGTGCACCCCAGTTCACCCTGGGGTGCCCCATGCCGTGGCAGGGATGCTCACCAGACCCTGATGTGCTGGGATGCTGTTCCCCAGGATTTTCCCTGCTGGGATGGAGCTGGAGCCGGGTGGGATGAGCTCTGGCAAACGGCAGCAATTAACAACAACCCATGGCTGTGGAACTGCATCCCTGGACGTGCTTTACTCATTTATTCTGACAAGTGCCATTTAATTATTCATTAGGCTGTTCTGTGCTGTATGAATCAATGTGCTGGGGAATATTTCATTAAAATAATGAAGTTTTAGTGCTGCGGAACCTTGGCGCGGCGTTGGCACTGTCGCGGAATGGTGACTCCCATCTCTGGGGACAGTGGCTGCTGGCCACATCTCAGCAGTGGCAGCTGGTCACTCGAGTCCTTGTGGTGGCACCAGGACTGGACAATGCACACCCATGGTCCATGCACCTGCTGGCTTCAGCCTGGAGGGCTCTGATTTATCCCCTGGATCTGATCTGTCATTAATACTTTTATTAACAGCCAGGAGAGCACAGTGCCAGGGATGGGGACATGGTCTCTGTGCCCATGTCTCTGCTCCTGGTGGGGAGAGGGTGCCCTTGGCTGGGATGAGCAAGGTGGTGGGAGATGCTGTGCCAGAGGCAGGAGCTGGCAGCCAGGGCTACCAGGGCTCCCCGTGCTCCCGTAGCGACTAATCGGGAGTGACATTTGTCTTCAAACCAGCATCCCTAAAAATAACCGAACATGAGGAGCAGTAAATACTTCCTGACATACAAGTGGAGCTTGTAAAACCAGCGCTGGTGACAAAGCTGTTATCCTGCCTCTTTGATCAGGTAGCATCACGCCACGGATCAGGACACCGGAGACCGGCTCTGACGACGCCATCAAAAGCATCCTGGAGCAGGCAAAAAAGGAGATTGAGTCGCAGAAGGGAGGTAGGTGCTGCCATGGGGGTGGCCAAGTCCCTGCTCTGCCCTGTGGCAGCAGCACCCATCCCAAAAATTGGCTTTTTGTGGGTGTTTCACCCATTGACATCCATGTAGAATTTTAGGGCATGTTGGAAGGAAATGCTGTGTGGGATGGAAGAGTCCCTGTGCAGCAGAGTTCAGATCTGGGCTTTCAGAAACTTTGGATGCACTCTTTTTCCTCCCCCCTGCCCCATACCAGATGATTAAATGAGTATTCAGGATCCATCTGGCACGAGGAACCATTAAAGCAGCTGCTCTCACAGTCAATTACAAGAAATGAAATACATTAAAACAGGTAGTCTGCTGAGAAAGCAGAATCCCGGAGAATTAAATTAGACGGCAACGGTGGAAAAAACAGGCAGGGAAAACAAACATGTTTGTCTATCGCATTGTTGGTAATGGGATTTATTTTGCAATCATCAAAAAAGAAGTTGGCTTTGAGTTGGGGCTGTTGATCCTTTTGCTTTGTGGATGCTGCTGGTCCAAACCAGATCAGAATAAAAACCACTTTCCTCCCACACTTTGAGCTGTGGCCACAGAGTAAACGATGTCTGCTGCTCCTCTGGGCTGCCCTCACTGCTTTTCTCTGCAGGGGAGCCCAAAACACCATCAGCATCACAGGCAGTGGCCAACGGGGCGGGCAGCAGCAGCTCGGAGGACGCCATCAAGAGCATCCTGGAGCAGGCGCGGCGGGAGATGCAGGCGCAGCAGCAGGCGCTGCTGGACATGGAGTCGGGGCCCGGCGGGCATGGAGGGGACACGGCGCCCTCCGAGCGCTCCACGCTGGGCACCGTCAGCCAGAACATCACCCCCGCCCTGGTCAAGCAGGAGGAGGCCAGCGGGGCCAGCCCTGGCCCGCCGCAGACGCCCCTGGCCGTGCTCTCCCCCGCCGCCTTCGTCCAGAGCATCATCCGCAAGGTGAAGTCGGAGATCGGCGATGCCGGCTCCTACTTCGACCAGCACTGGGCGTCGGAGCGCAGCCTGCTCAGCCGGCCCTACACCTCCGTGTCGCCCTCGCTGTCCTCCTCCTCCTCCAGCTACTCCAGCATGGCCAACGGCCGGGGCTGGCCGCGGGGGGAGCCCGGTGAGGGCGGCACCAACGAGGACGAGCTGCAGCCGGCGGATGAGGAGCCCCAGCGGCTGTCGGAGATGAAGGCGGAGGGAGCCGGAGCGGAGCCGGCGGCCGGTGGGCGTCTGTCCTACTACCCCACGTACGTGCCACGGACCCTGAAACCCACGGTGCCGCCACTGACGCCGGAGCAGTATGAGATGTACATGTACAGGGAGGTGGACACGCTGGAGCTGACCCGGCAGGTCAAGGAGAAGTTGGCCAAGAACGGCATCTGCCAGAGGATCTTTGGAGAGAAGGTACCAGCCTGGAGAAGGGGGGGTCTGGTGTCCTCTCTGCTCCATGAGCCAGAGCCTGGGCTCATTGATGGCCTTCACCAGCTCCTTCCAGAGTCTTCCTTTTCCCTGGTCTGTTTCCCCTTGGAGGACTCAGGACTGGGCAGGTCTGACCCAAGCCCAGTCTCCCAGTGGCCACCATTAATTGGTTGGTGGCATTTCCCATCAAGAATGCCCAGTCCCCTAAACAGAGCCCTTTGGGGACCAGCCTCCCACCCCACTGGGTTTCCCAGTGGGACTCACCCGTGGCAGGGGACAGAGGGTCCAGACATGCTGTGGGGCAGCGGGTGGCAGCGGGTGGCAGTGGGTGGCATCCTGCTCCCCCTCCCCAACAGGGGAGTGGAGGGCAGGCAGCTTCCCAGCACTGGGGGAGTGCAGCCCACCTTCAGAGGGTGACACCTGCGTGGTGCCCAGGTGCTGGGACTGTCCCAGGGCAGTGTGAGTGACATGCTGTCGCGGCCCAAACCGTGGAGCAAGCTGACACAGAAGGGTCGGGAGCCCTTCATCCGCATGCAGCTCTGGCTGACAGACCAGCTGGGCCAGGGGATCAGCCAGCAGCCCACACCCTCCCAGGGTAAGTGACATCACTGTCCCCACGTGCCATCAGTGTCCCCACCACTTCTGTGTCCATCCCCTGCATCCCAGGGAGTTTGTCCTGCTCCCACCCAGCACTGGGAACAGCTGTCCCTGCCAACTCCAATACTAGCACCCACATCCTGGCAAGTCCCTTCCATCCCCAACCTCCTTCATTTAAAACAAAAATAAAAGGAAAGCCACATCAAAAACCTTGGGCTTCATGCCTGACATAAAGCAATAGCTGGATTTTTTGTGTTATATTGATGGCATTTTCTCTCTTTAATTATTCCACCACCATCATCTCCCACTTTGGAGAAGCTTGGCTGGTATCCCTCTTCTCTGAAGAGCAAAGCCACCGGCATCTCCCAAATGCCCTTCCTGCTCCCTGCCCCGTCCCCTCCCGCTGACCCCTGTGCCCTGGTGTCACACAGCCAGCCCGGCGGAGCCCCAGCCGTCCCCCTCGCCGCCCCCCAGCCCCTCCGAGCACGAGAAGGGCTGCCAGGAGCCCCTCACCCTGGCCTTGGAGAGCAGCAAGGAGAACCAGCAGCCCGAGAGCCGCTCGACGCCTGCGCTGGGCGGGAAGATGTATCCCAACAGCCAGGGCCCCATGGGCATCCAGGAGATCGTCGCCATGTCCCCCGAGCTGGACACCTACTCCATCACCAAGAAGGTCAAGGAGGTCCTGACAGACAACAATTTAGGTGCGGGCCCTCTCTCTGCCCAGGTTTTTGGGAGCTGCTGGTGAGACTGCATGGATCCAGCACCCCAGTTCCTGTAGGTGCAACCCCCCGTTCCAGATGTTTCTCTGTGGGTGCTCATGGGAATTCCAGGAGGATGCTGGCTGGGAAATGGGGTGCACCTGCTGTGCAGGGGGACTGCAGCGCCCGTCCCGCTGCTCTACCCCGCTAACCACCTCTGCTTCTCCTCCGCCAGGCCAGCGGCTGTTTGGGGAGAGCATCCTGGGCCTGACGCAGGGCTCGGTGTCCGATCTCCTCTCCAGGCCCAAGCCGTGGCACAAGCTGAGCCTGAAGGGGAGGGAGCCCTTCGTGCGCATGCAGCTCTGGCTCAATGACCCCCACAATGTGGAGAAGCTGCGCGACATGAAGAAGCTGGAGAAGAAGGGTGAGGGAAGGGGTGACACGGCCCCATTGGGTTGCATGACACATCCCACTGGCTGAGGGGGGTTCCTGGGCTGGGGGGCAAGCGGTGCCAGCTGGGTGTCCTCTCCTGCAGCCTACCTGAAGCGCCGGTACGGGCTGATGAGCGCTGGCTCGGACAGCGAGTCCCCCAGCGNCAGCGAGGAATTCGTGCTGGAGCTCTTCGACCCGCCCAAGGTAAGGACCTGCCGCCTCTTGCCTGGTCCAGACAGTGATGCTGAGGGTCCCTCGACTGGGAATGATGCCTGGGTGCCACAGCATCCCACAGGGAGGAGCCGGGCCACGGTGCACCCAGCACCACGAGGGTTTCTCACCACGAGGGGTTTGCTCTGCCACTGCTCTCCCTCTGCTGCAGCCACACGAGGCTGGGCCTTGTTTGTTTAATATCTCTGAGAAAGAAACAAAGACACCCCTGTGAGTATTGTCTGGGGAGTGAGAGATGCTGTCACCAAGGTGTTCTAATGCTGCAGTCGGTCAATGTGTCAATGTGTCATTGCATTTCTCCCTGCTGGGAATCCAGAACTGGGTTTTCCAGCTGGAAGCACAGTGCTGGCCTTCTGAGCTGAGGATGGAGGCTGGTGGCCTCCATCCCACTCATCCCAGCCTCATTCCACCAGTCTGATGAACCCCAAATTCACCCCATCCCCTGTGCTGTGCTTTTAGCAGCCTGAGCATCTGCTCGCCTGGGCAAGCTGGGAGAGGAAAAGGGAAAATAGGAATTAGGCTCTGTGCTTTTCTCTGCTCCCTGTGGGACCCATAGTTTTGCTTTTTGTGAGGGGTTTTGTGACTGGAAGTTCAGCTCTCAGCTGCTGCAGGGAGCTCCCGTGGTGCTGAGACGTGGCTGGAGTGGAGATGATGCAGGATGTGAGGGAGTGGGGAGTGATGTGGGGGGAGTTGGGATGTTCAATCTGTAAAAAGATGGTTCCTCCACATGGCAGGACTTGCACAGGCCGTGATGGGATGAATTTTCTCTCTCTCCTCTTTTTTTTTTTTTGTTCTCGTTTAACTTTGATGACAAACTTGTGCTTTGGAAGGAGGAAACCTCCGGTAGAGCTGGAGCCTTGTCCCTGCCTTCAGGGCAGCAGGGTCAGGGAGCAGCTGGCTGAATTCCTGCTATTTCCGTCAAACGGCTCCAATATTAAATATTTGAAAAAAGAAACAACATCAAAATTGTAACATCTGAAAGTAAAAGCTGCTTTTGCTCCGTCATGTCAAGGGTTGCAGTTGTTTGTCCCCGTGGGAGTGTGTGTCCCCATCCCGGGGCACAGGGAGGTCAGAGGCACTCTGGGGCACTTGGAGGGTGCTCCAGCAGCTGGATAGCACTGCCTTTTTCCCCTCCCTCATCCTTTTTCTCCCTTTTCCCCATTTTTTAAAATCCCTTATTCTTTTTTTTATCCCTTTTAATTTTTTCTTCCCTCTTTTTTCTTTCTTCCTTTTTCTTTTTTCACTTCCCCTTTTCTTTTTTCAATTCCCCCACACTTTTTTTTACTACCCCTATCTTTTTCTCCCTATCCCTTTTTTTACTACCCCCATCTTTTTCTCCCTATCCCCCCCATTTTTTTTCCCTTTCCTCCCTTTTTCTTTCTTTGTTTCCCTCCCTCTTGGGAAGCAAGCCCAGCACATTCTTCCTTTCCTCTCCCCACATTCCCTGCCCAGCTTTGACCCAGGGGTGGGAGACACTTCAAACAAGGCACTGGCCACGTTCCCCCCGTGCTCTGAGCATTATTCCTTGCAGTCTCCATGGGATGGAGATTTCCTGGAGCTCCACATCCCCACAGGGCTGGAGACCCCCGAGCCTGGAGCAGGGGGGGTTTCTCAGCCAGGCCTGCGGAAGCGGGGGGATGTTCCATGCTGGATTTTTGCGAGTCTCTGGATTAAATTGCTTCCTGTGCAAATATTCTCAGGGCGGCTCCTTCCTTTCCAATTCCCTGGGCCAGGGCCAGCTCCCTTCTCCTTTACAGCACAATCAATCCTGACCCTTTCCCAGTCACTGCGGTTGGATTCTGGGGGCGGTGGAAAATCCCCCACGGTGCTGGTGGCTCCCACTCCCCAAACCCAGCACGGGGCAAACCACGGAGCAGTGAGAACAGAACAGTTTGTTTGGGGGTTATTTTCCTTTAAAATAACTGAATAACACTCAACAACCCCCTGGGAATGGCTGCGAGGAGCCCCTTCCTTGCCATCCTCCTGCCCCAGGATGCTCCCAGGGTTTTTCCACTGCTTTTTCCCCATCTTGTGGGTCTGTTCCTGATTTGTGGATGCTGTTGATCACCTTGGAAAATTGATGGTTTTAAATAAGCAACTGTAAAATCTGTTCTTGGGATTTTTCAACTCCAAATGATCTCTGGACTGTGAGGTTGGTTACCCTCAGTTTTTCTGGAAACACCCTTCCTTCTCTTCCTTCCCCCTTCTCTTCCTTCCCCCTTCCCTCTCTTCCTTCCCCCTTCCTCCTCCTTCCTCCTTTCACCCTATAAATAATAGGATGCAACTGAAATTTCATCTCAGCCTCAGAGCTTTGCAGCATCAAGCCAAGCCCCCAAATATCCATCCCCTTGGAATGACCCTGGAAAAGGCAGGTGTGTGGAGAAAGGAGGGGGGTCCTGCTGCTTTTGGCAGCTTTTGTCTCCTTTTCCCCCATTTCTCCTCGTGCTCCAATGGGGCCTCTGAGCTTAATCCCATAACGTGCCTGGCATCAAAGGGAGTGGGGGCTTTGAAGAGCCCTGATCCCATTTGCTGCTTGGGTGGCTGTGCTGGGTGAAAGAGGAGCTGGAATAGAGGGATGTTGGGATACCTGTGCCTGTGTATATATATATATATAAAAGATATTTTATATAGCACTATATATAGTGCTTGTATATATATATATATATATAAAAATTATATATATAATATATATTAAAATATATAATATTATATATACATATAATTATATAATAATACAATATATATACTCATATATTATATAAATATATAAATTAAAATATTCATATAGAAGGCTATATATATATTTATTGTACATATTTATTGTATATATTAATATACACACACATTTTTATTATACATATACTATTTCATTTTATATAGTACATATTATATAATATATATTTGTTATATGCACACATATATATTATTATATATATTTGTTATATACACATATATAATATATTAATATATATTTTATAATTAATTATAATATATATTATAATAATATAATTATATATTATTTAATTAATATAATATATGTTAAATATACATAAATATTGATTTAAGGTTATATGTATTTTTATTACATATATATTTATTATACACACACACACATTTTTTCATATGTGCCACAGGAAAATCTCGGCATGGTCCTGGAGTTGCACCCATGTGGATTCTCTGATCTCTGCTATGAGGGCAATGCTCACCAGTCCTCCCTGATTTCCTTGGAGGCATTAAGGGTTTTCTCCTCTCCCACACCATTTAATCCCATACAACATTTAGGACTGGGTACCTCTGAGCTCTCTCCACCTTGATAAATTTCAGCCAGAGCTGGCAAACCCAGGTTTGTCAGCTTTGGGGCTGTTCCTCAGCTGAGCCCCAGCCCCAAATCCCTTTTCTGTGGCCGAATCCCAAACTCCATGAGAGCCGTGACTCGCAGCGGAAATGTCCCGAGCCGTTTCTGTTGACCAGATGTTTTTACAGGAAGGGGAAGGGAAATGGGATTTGCATTTGTGCTGCTTTCTTTATAGCATTTTAATGAAATCCAGTGCGTCCCACAAATTGATGGCACGCCGGGGCTGGCCCGGAGACTCCTTCCGGAGAGAGCCCTCGGAGCCTCTGCCCCAGCTCAAACATCTTTGCTGAAGCCACGGGAGGAGCAGTATTTTTATCTCTGCTCAGTGTGAGCCTGCTTTGACTTCCTTTTTTTTCTTTTTTTTCTCTTTTTTTTAAATTTTTTTTTTCTTTTTTTACACCTTTCACCTGAATCTGGTTTCTGAGAACTGCCACCTCCTGAGCCAGCAGGTTCCTGTCCCCGATTTTTGGTGCCTGGGGCTGTGAGTGGCAGCTGGTCAGGCATGGGATGGGGCACATCCCAGTGTTTTGGTCCCCATTCCCTGTCCCTGCTCCTCCTGGAGCTGCTCAAACGTGGCCTGAGTGACTCAGCCAAGGAAGGGCAGTGGTGGAGGGGGAGTTTTCCTCCCTGGAGCACCTTGAGAAAGGTTTTCCCAATGATGGGAAGCACCTCAGTGTCCCATCATCCCATCCCTGATCCAGGAAAGGGCAGGTTTGTGCCAATCTGGATCCACAAGGGACCACATCCCTCTCCTGCATCTTTTCCTGGCGTTCCTGGGGACTTCATCCCTCTCTAAGTCTCTTTTTCTTGGCATCTCCATGGGCTGCATCCCATTCATGGCATTCTCCTGGCATTCCCAGGGACTGCATCCCTCTCTTGGCATCTCCATGGGCTGCATCCTGTCCTGGTGCAGCTGAAGATGTCCCTGCTCACTGCAGGGGGTTGGACTCGTTGCCTTTTCAAGATCCTTTCCAACCCAAACTATTCTGTTCTTCTATGATCCCTCTCCAAGCATCCTGCTCCCAGCATCCCTCTCCTGGCATTCCCAGGGACTGCATCCCTTTTTTGGCATTTCCAGGGGCTGCATCCTGATCTGCTTGGTGTCCCTGCTTATTGCAGAGGGGTTGGACTGCGTGGCCTTTGAAGATCCCTTCCAACTCATTTTATTCTATGATTCTGAGATCCTACTCCCAGCAGCATCCTCCAGGATCGCATCCCTCTCCTGGCAACCCCAAAAGACCACACAGCCAGGAGCTGGGAAAACACCTGTGATGACCCTGGAGGGGTTTGGGTGTCCTTCAAATCCCTTGGGAGAGGCAAAACCTGCCCTGGAGCTGCCCCAAAGCCCTCAGCAGCCTCTCCCCGGGGCAGGGCGGGCGCATCCTCTCTGTTCTTCGAAGGCACCGGCGGCCTCGGGGCTTTGTGAGATTTTGGTGGTGACTTTTGCTCTCTTCCCCCTCCCCCCCCACCCCAGCTCTGTTTTTGGGTATCGAGGGGGGGGTGGGAAGGAGGGCGAGGAGACAAAGGTTATTTGTCATTTATTAACCACAACTTTTTCCATCCTTGGTCATGCACGGAAAAAACACTTTTAGCAGCGTAACCACAGCCCCGGCGTTAATTGCTGAAGAGCAGAGTTTCTTATTTTGGAAACTGTTGCTGGGATGGGGGCTTGCCAGGGCCTGGGTGTGAGGGGAGGGGTGCAGGATGGACCCCAATATCTGCTTCATTGAACTCTGGGTTTGGGGCTTGGAAGGATTCCGTCTTTTTAACCCCATCCTTTAAAATCTGCCCTTCCTGGGGCTGTTGTCCTACTGCCCCTGCTTATCAGAGTGTCACTGGCAGGGATGCTGCAGAGCTGCTGGGGTGGAAGCACCACGTGCCAGCTGAGAAGTGGGCAAAAAATGCAAAAAATGGAGATATTGGGCAAACCACAGGAAAGAGGGCTGGGAAAGCACTCGGGGAATGCATTGCTCCACAAGAGCTGTGGGTGCTGCGTCCCCGCAGCTGATGTGAAAAGCCTAGTGGGGTTTTGTTGGGTGGTTGCTTCTCTTTTTCCCCCCTTTTTCTTCTTTTTTTTTTTTTTTTTCTCTCTCTCTCTCTCTCTTTTCACGGCCCAGGATGTGGTTGTTTCGAGGCTGAGAGCTGCTTCTTTCAAAGGTAAATATTTANCCCTAAATCACCTCCATCAGCATCTCCCCCACACCCAAACTCGGTAAAAGCCAGGCTGATTTTGGGGTGCATTTTGCAGCTCGCACCGACCCTCACAGCCAAGCATTTCCAGGCGCCTTACCCCCTCCGGGCAGGCTGGGACAGACAGTACCTCAGAGTGGGGTGGAAGAAGTCACCTGAAACCCATCATATCGCACCTCGAGACGTGCGAATGAGCCACTTCCAAACCACCCCAACCATCCTGCAAACAGAATGGGGCAGAGCAGTTAAGGAGGGAATTGGGAAGGCTGGAGGCTGGTAAAGGGTTTTACACAGCAGAAGAAAGCAGCAATGGTTAAAAGCTGAGGGCAGCGCAGAGCGGAAGGGAAGCAGCAGCGCCTGAGTGAGTGTGTGTGTGTGTAAGAGCATCTGCGCAGCTCCACACACACAAACAAAAAAAAAAAGCAGAAGTCGGGGGTAGTGAATTAGCAGTTGGAGACTGAGAAAAATCCATACAGGAAGCAAAACAAAGGAGAAATCTCAGGCCACTGGGGCTGAGGACGCTGAGAGGGCATTTTGATGGGAAAAGATGTGAAAATGACCTGACGTAGATGAAGTTGATAAAGGAAAGTGCGATCGCTGGGAGCTGGGACAGCCTCCCGCGGGAAGGGGGAGAGGCACCCGGATCCGCCGGCCGCTCCTCCGCTCTCAGGAAAAGAGCCAGAAGGGGCAATTATGCATAAAGCAACGGCGGGAGGAATTAAAAAGCAGATTTCAAGGTAAGATTTTATCGTGTCAGCTGCTCCCAGCCACTTCCTTGTGGGGTTTGGGAAAGGCTGATTGGACGCAGAGCCACCGGGATCCCTGGCGATGCCCGAAGGGGCTGCGGGGTTATGGCTCAAATCTGATCCGGGGGGGTTGCTGAGGCTGCAGAAGGGCAGCAGGGCTCTGTCCAAACTGGCTGCGGTCCAGGGGTGGCGCAGCTCCAGCAGGGAGTTCGCATTTCAGTTTTTTCTTCACTGGAAATGGATTGGGAATGGATGGGGTGAATAACTGAGGTGCATTTAAAGCACCACAGAGGACGGACCCTCACAGATGTTCACAAATGGCTCAGTGTGTCCCAGCCCACTCTCCAAGGGCAAATTCCTGCAGCTTCCACCTTCGCACCACCCGCAAATCCGTTGTGTGGTGTGTGTGAAATCCCAGTGCCACATCCTGGGCTCTGCCGTGACTTTTGCCCGCCCTGTGTGAGTGGCCTCTGCGTGGGGATCTCTCCCTGTGTCCCTGCCACTGCTGCCATTCCAGGCAAGGCTTTGTAGGAACTCTTGGAAAGATCAGTAACACGAGTGGGGGATGTCAATGGGCCAGACGTGACAGTGCAGACCACAGTCCAGCCCTTTACTGGAAAAAGGTGCAGTGGGAGTTTATTTTTGCTCCATTTCCCACGGCAGAGTGGGCGGCTGCGGCTCTGCCGCGGGGCCTCTGCTCCCCTGGGATGAGATGGCACCCGGATGGCAGCGGGATGNCGCCTCCGCCACCGCCCATCCCCGCGGCCGGCAGGGAGGGAGGAGCTGGAAAAGCGCTCCGGAGCTCGGCCCCGGGGCAGGGAGATCCTGGCTCGGTCCAAAACCCGCAGCAGGTCACGGTTATGGGCACTGGGACAGCAGAGGGGAGAGCGAGGGGGGAATGGGGGAGAGATGAGGGCACGCGTTGGAGGATGCAGGGGATATGCACATCCTGGGATGAATGTATGGGTTTACTCAGGGATGTGCACGTGTGTGGGAAACCCAGGAGTTCAGTCCTGAAGATGGCTGCACAACGTTGAATTTTTGATCACGTTTTGGAGGGAAAGAATTGGAATTCTGGCAGCATCTGGCAGGGATCTGGACAAGGTGGATGACACAAGCCCCTCAAAGAGGGTTGGTGGCAGGACGTGGACTGGTCCTGTGTGGGTGGGGGATGCTGCAGGGGACCAGGCTGCAAGTCCTGGCTGCTCTCCCGACCCTCCAGCCACATCCTCGGGCCACAGGCACGTGTGGGGAGGTCTCAGTGCCGAGGGACAGAAGAAGTGAGTGGGACAAGCCTCCAGTCTGACTTCTGCTCTTGGTTGGCCTGCCAGGCTCACAGGACCACCTTGGCAGTGTTGCTGTCCTCACCATGTCCCAGTGAATGCCAGCGTCAAGAATTTGCTCTCCTTATCTCCTTATCCTTATCTCCTGTCCCTTTCCTCCAGTTTCTTCACCCCCCTGCTCTGCTCCACAGCCATGTGTGCATTCTGGCAATCGAGGCACTGGCAACAATTTTACAGGTCCCCATCCCAGAAACCCTGCTGTCCCTGATCTCTGCCACAGGTTGTGGTTCATCCCCACCCACAGATGCCCTCATTTCCCTGCACAGCTGATCAGGACTTGGCAATTTTCTGCTTGTGTCAGAGGTTTTCAGTTCACCGGGGGTTTTCCTTGTCACCTGCAGGCTTTCACTTTCAGGCTATAAAAAGGGATTCAAACCAGCACTAAAACCATCTGGGCTTTATCTTCCCTCCTGAGCAGAGCAGCTCTGTTCAAGGTCGCTGGTGGGAAGCTCTTGGGACTCTGCAGCACTTATCTCCCTGCCTAGCTCAGAGATGGCTTTTCACACGGCAAGATTAGGATGGGAAGGGCTGCGGGGAGAAGCAATATCTTTATTAGAGCAGCTCGGGTAATTGGAAAAAGGCAACAGCGCTCCCAGCTCTGTTTTCCTTTCCTGGGACTCCAAAGCCACATGTTCATCTTGCAGAAGTTGTTCCTCCTCCACAGCTGCTCTGGAAAATCATCCCAATTCCTCAAAAACACCGACAAAATTCCCCTGTGGATTTTTGCTTCCCATTGAGTCT